AAAAAAAAAAAAAATATTTGAGTGCAAGGTGCTATTCTAGTTACTATTCCAGCCTTGATCAAAGCAAATGAGGTTACTCTTCTCATGGAACTCATTTTGTTGTGCTTTCACTGATATAGTTGCACCAAACTTAAATCTTTTGACAAGTTTGGACAATAAATGGTGATCTAATAGGTTTGTTCAATGTGTTCTGATTTGTGTGTTGATTACCTCTAAATTAAAAAATTAAAACTGCATAAAAAAACACCTGTCTTCAATTTCTCCATCAACCAGGAAAATAGCTATGTAGATTTTCTTGTAGTTAAAAAGAAGTAACTCCTGGTCTATGAATACATTGGTGTCTTCTCACATGAATTCCATTAAAGTATAAGACACTAAACAAAGGGTTTTAATGTTTCCTGTAGCATTAGAATTTAATTTTCTACTTTCCTACAACTGTCTCTTTAAAATAAGGCCAAGTGAGGTGGTCTGTACCTATAAACTTAGCACTTTGGGAGACCAAAGCAGGAGGCTTCCTTGAGGCAAGGAGTTTGAGACCAGCTTGGATAACATAGGGAGACCCTGTTTTTCTTTTTTTTTTTAAATTAGCTGGGTGTAGTAGTGCACACCTGTAGCTCCACTACCGGGGAGGCTGGGGTAGGAGGATCACCTTTAAGCTCAGGAGTTTGAGGCTACAGTGAGCTGTTATCAAGCCACCATATTCTACTAAGCAACAGAGAGACCCTATATCCAAATAAATAAATAATAAAAATATTAGATAAATATGTTTTAGATACATAGAGCATTTTTCTACATTTTTACAGAATTTGTGATGGGTCTACAACAGGGACATGATGTGGAATTTTGGCTACTGTATCTCAAAAAAGACATCGAAACTAAAATAAATAAGCAAAAAAGATCATCCTGAGAACAGAAAGTTGTATACATTAACTACTTCATCTAGAGCAGTAAAAAAATATAATAGATTATCCAATTTAGATATGGTACTTAAACAGAGAAATTTAAAGCTGGTTAAGGAACTTTAACTTTTTTTTTTTAATAAATAAGAAACTTAAGATTCAAAGACATAAAGTGTCCTGCCCAAAGCAAAGATACTTACTTGTAAACAGCAAAGTTGTAATAAGACTATGGATCTGCAGATTCCCTGTTCAGGAATTTAGTTCTCATTAACTAACTGTGAGAGTTTTAGCAAATCAAGGATAGAGAGAGGGTACTTTTTATATCTGAAAGATGCTGTTTTAGTTTAACCTTAAAAAACCTAATGTTTATAGTATATTTCAACAGGACATACAATCTGAAATTACATAAAAAGGCCTTAAAGTTATGAATACAAGTCTATAACAAATCTATGTATTCCACTTAGGTCATATTCAAAATGTCACTTGTAAGTAGTCTGTTCAGAATTTGGAATTCATTTCTCTGTCAAAGAAAAGTAACAAGTTATGGGCCTAATTAACCCAGGTATAGTTGAAATAATATGCATAGTACCCCAAGAGGCACGCTGAACTGGGCCCAAACCCCTTTGAGTACTGGACCCCACAAATGGTTGGATAACTCCAGTAGAGTCCTGGAAACACTCAAAGAGCAAGCCAGTGGAAGGCTAATAAATCGTCCTATATCAAAGAGATCTTGTATTAAGGAGAATAAGAACATCCAAAAACACACTTAACCTTTTGAGGTCTGGGCCACAGATAATAACCAAGTCTTACTCAAGAAAGTCTGTGGAGTGCTGAGTGAGCCAGAAAGGTCTGTACTCGTCTCGCTTTTCTGGAATCGGAATTCAACCTAACTAAGGAGGGGGAATGAATTAAAGGGACCCATCAAAGGTTTCCTCTCCCACTTTACACTAAGAGGCAACTCCACTCATTCTCGGATTTCCCCATATACTAGGTTCCTAGTTTGGGAATAACATTCTATGCAGTGCATTTCTGATGCTTACACACTCCTAAAAGAACTTTTAAAAACATTCATCTTAAGCACAATTTTGTAAATTTAGTGTTGGTTTCTAGAAACCTCAGAGTCTAAACTGACAGGGTATAGATGCAAGCAGAATTTGCACATTCTGAGTTAGTAGCTTGATTGTCCAGGGGACGAATTTGGGTTTCTCACAAAGTCCCCCCAAGTAAATTAAATCACATCCTCAAATCTTGGCCCCGGGGCAGATGATGGTGGTTAAAAGAAGCTATCAAGGTTAGGGGCTTTCTCCAACCCCAAGAGGTCTGGAAGGCAGAGAGCGGCTGGTCTGTGGGGCCCGAAAGAGACTTGGCAGGGGGAGGCAAGGGTGAGCGCGCCCACCTGGCGGGCTGTCGGGGACCCTGGCGTGTCTCCCCGCCCTCCCGGGGCCCGCCTCGCTCACCGAGGTGGCCGCCGACGATGGTGACTGCGATCTGATCCATGAGCACCGCCCGGAAGCTCACGTCCTGCTCGGAGCAGCGCTGCCGGAGGGCGCGCAGGATCTGCACCTGCGGGTAGTCCTCGCGGATGCGCCGGTCCGTCAGGAACCAGAGCTGGGAGCACATGGTGGCCAGGGCGGCGGCGCCCGGCGCGGCGCGGACCCCTCGGCGCCCCGGGCCGCTCGCTCACAAGGGCGGGCGGGAGGCGGGCGTCCCCGGCGAGCGCCCCGCGGCTCCGCTCCCGCCGGTGCGCCAGCGCCTCTGCAGCCCTGACCCAGCGAATCCTCCCGGCCACTCAGCGCCGCCGCCGGCCGCGGCCAGCCAATCAGCGCGCGGCGGCGGGCGCGGGCCGGCAGCACGGCCAGCTGCAGAGGCGGCCGGGCGGGCGGCGCCCGGGAGGGGCAGCGGGTTGGGGGGCTGCTGTGGCCGGGGGAGGGGAGCCGGGCGGGGCTTGGGGTCCGGGGGAGCAGGGGAGCCGTGGGCAGGCGATGG